GAATTTGAACCCAATTAATCTCATCAGCACAAATTCTAATAACCCAAATTACACCAAATTTGACACACAGCAAGCTTGTCCTAAAACAAAAACAGGCAAAAACAAATTTCCAAAAAAACACAAAATTTGACCCCGAAACCCTAATTTGAGGATCATTTATCGTTACCCAGGGCCGAAAAGTGGGGGTCCCCGTTAACCACTTGTTCGAACGACCTCGGGCCAGTCAGTTCAATGGTAATATTTCAAGACAGTCTGAATGCCTTGATCAGGCTTGATGAACAGAACCAAACAAGTATGGAAAACATAACCAAAAAAAAAAAACTACGGACGCGGCAGATTTTGAGTTCGCAAAGGCGAAAAAAAAAACATGTGCTGGCAAAAATATCACAGAGCGAGTTTGAAACGGCAGTTTCGGTAGAAAAGGATCCGTCGGGCCTCTTTTTTTTCTTTTTCCCCCCCCCTGTCTGGCACCACAGGCGACCCCTGTATTTATGACACCCGTGCCTCTGTCATGGCGGTGGTACTTTCATTGCTTTTTCCAACTCAGTGGCTGTTTTCATTGCGGCCGCATGTTTTTTTTGCAAATTTGAAACTCAAAAGTGACATCAGCTTACTTGGCCCAAAAAAGAAACAAGAAAAAGGAGTTATAGTTCATATAGTAGCAATAAGTAATAAATTAATAATAACTTAGTAATAAGTAGTAATAACAATAATGATATAATTAGAACAACATGATTGTGTGTGTGTGTTACATGCTGCGCCTGCACACGAGGGCCATTTTCCAGGCCCTGCGTCCCTTAGGCTGAAAGCCTGAAAACCAGGGCCTACAGGCCCCGTGACCATTCAGCTCGAAAGCCTGAAAAACAGGGGCCTACAGACCGTGTCGTTTCAGACTAAAAATGGCAGTAGCCTTTTTAGCCTGAAACGAAGGGCCATTTCCGGTCTGTCATCAGACCGGCCTTCCCTGAAACTCAGGCACCGAACCAGGGTTTTAGGAACAGGCTATTTTTGGCCTGTTCCCACGACAGCTGCAGCGCCAGCCCCTGGCTCAGTTCGGCATTGGCAAGAGCAGCCTCCTGGAGTGTCCGCCCTGCAACTACAGGCAGTCGGAGGCAGTCAGGAGGCAGGCCGAGATAGTACATAGGGACTTCCCATGCACTTCACGGGTACTCAGGAGGCAGGAGGCAGTAGTCTTCAGGATTCGGAAGCAGCACTCTGGAGGAGCGCTGCAGTAGTAGTAGTAGCGTTAGCCTTAGTCTTCAGCGCTGGGCGCTAATAGCGTTAGTAGTAGTCTTCAGCGCTGGGAGCCATAGCTAGAGTAGCACTAGAGAGAGAGAGATTGGGCGGAGGCCAGGGATACTTACCTGCAGCGCCATTGCGCCAGCTTCGTCTTCGAGGTACCTGCAGCACAGAGCCATCTTCACAGGTTAGTACCTGGCATACAAGAGAGAGAGAGAG